AAATATGCCAAACAAAAAATCATTTTATCTCAGTACCATGAAGTGATAGCAACGGAAAATTGCCCCATTGTTCAAGATGTGAAAAAAAAATTGGGAGTGGCAATACTTAATTCCACGGTGATGAGAATTTGTACAAAATTAGAGCTCCATTTTGGAATCAAGAGATGGTGACCATTTTTTTCTCTCCCTCCCATCCTTCTGTTAAGACATACACATTTAAGTTGTCTGGAAGGATTGGGCTGAAAATAGCTTTTAATGATTCACAACAAAATGTCACTTCCCATTTTCACAAAGTTATCTTTTAAAAGAGTAGATCAGTATTTACTGCATTTTTATTTCAATATCCTAGAGGCATAGAAATACCATAATTAATACTATCTGCAATACTGCACAATCAACCAGGGGGACATACAGACACAGATATATGCATAGACTCAGTAGGTAAACAAGTGTAAATAAAAATTTAATTTCTATATTTACACAAAAATTGTCATACATAAACATTACTATTAATTATATTATACCAGTGTATCACTGCCATCAATGTGATTGGTTGGGAGACTGTTTTAATTTATGCAAGCCATGGTTAAATAGAGCATAATGCACAGTTATGGTGTTCCAAATAAGGCCCCAGAATATGAATACAAGTTCAATTCGTAAACAAATAAAGGGAAAGGCATTTAAATTTTAGGGAAATTTTGGGGTAATATTGATAGCATGATTTGAAGATATTATATACATATTTTATTTTGGCAGTGGTTAAATAAAATAAACATAGTTGAACTCTGGTGACCTTGCCCTTTGTTATATAATACAATTCCCTTTAACATATTTGTTTCAATATAAATATACATTGTCATAATTAATTTTGAATACAAACAAGTTTTGGGGTTGAACTAACAGTGGGGAATCAGTCTACCGAATGTCCTTTAAAGATGTAAATATCTTACAAAAACATTTGTGCCTTATTTGTTTAATTATTTTAAGGGACATAATTTCCAGCTTTCTTCAAAGTAATTCAGATATTTTAGTATAAAAACAAATGCCTCATTGCAAAAAAAAAAGTGCTGCATTTAGACGTGAATAGATTCATAAAACATGCAAGATAACAGAAAATCTTAGCTGGCTTTTGTCCAAGTTTTTTGTACAGGTGTCTGTCAAAAATTAATGATTCACTGAGACAATTATGAACTGCCTCATTGTGTGACTACTGTATTATATGAAAAAAAAAAAAAAACACCCTTTATGAATAGCTATCATGTTGCAAGCTCTGCTTTGTATGCAAATCAAATAGTTAGTTGGTGTCCAGTGGAGGGAGAAGTCAACAGTACTGTTGCCTCCTGAGAATCTACATCTTCAAACACTGCAATCTTTGAAGTGCGTTTTTAAACCAGTATTATAAAAACTCTATCATTCTGTTCTAATAGCTGAAACATATTCCTGCGAGTTTTCATTTGTCGAATGAACTGTTTGTCAAATACAGAATACATATATTTTAGAACAATTTTCTTTTTAAAATGTAGATGAAATGTTTTGCCTTTTATGTATTTTTTATGTATTGTTTTTGATTTGATAACTTTGAACTAAACAGATTTTCTATTAGCGTCAGATCTTGATCAAAGTTTGGCACCCAGTGTATCAATTTTGACAAAATGTGTATCAATCAGACTGTGCAACAACTCTCTCCATGAGTTTGCATTGAAATCCAGTCTAGCATATATATACATTACCAAGAATATTATTACAAGATAAATGATTTGCTTCATTGAACACATACAGCAATGCACATTCACACTGGGATCAGTGACCTTTGAATGTGTATCAGGAGTGATCAGTCAAGTAGAAAATATTTTATCAGATTTTCTCAATTTTTGCCTGATATTTTCATACAGGACATCTGTTCTTCATACCCAGGGAATACTTTATATTCATGAATAAGGTGACCAAGTTTGATAAAGTTTGGAATAGAATTAGTAAAGTTATTGTGCACACAATAACATTATTAACGACGACGACGACGACGCCGGACAGAAATTTTTCCCTTAATATATCTTTCCCTTCCATCTTTGATGGTACGGGCAAGGTAAAAATTGTACAACCTACAATTTTCGCAGGCTATTCTTTGCGACATGTTTTCGTTGTCTGCAACATAGACATGGCAGAGTATCATGTTCGGGAGCTGGAAACGCAGGCTAAAATGTATGCTACCGGCGGCGAAAATTGTCCCGTTGAAGTATTTCAAAATGTATTTGTCCAAATTGCAAAATGTGTTGTTTCAGGGACCCCATGTAAATGTAACACACACTGACATAGTCTGGTATTCATGAAAATAAATTGGAATCTATGATGAAAGAGATTTTGATAGCAGCAAATGTGTTGACAATTCATACACATCCACTGAGCACACTGTGTTCGGCAGGAATTGAAACCAGACACAATTATGTATTTCAGTGTTCGGTCCTACACTAACAAAGTCACCAATAATCAGAGTCAAGGGACATCCAGTATCCTGTCTCGCAGTTTTGGTATAAAAACAAATCCTCTGATAGAGAAGTGACCGTAGCGATCAAAGCCGGTTTTCCGACAACGTCATCCGTACCCCAGAAAACACCGGCATAGTAGCGTCTGGACCAACTCCCGCAGAATCTGGCACCGCTTCTATTTCTAATACCCACAATCAAAGTACACATGCAGCATCTGCTTTGTTCCATAACTGCACCTTTAGTGGACCGATTAATGTCAGCATAACAAACACAAAATAGAAAATTCGACAACGATATTAAGTCCACAGCACGTTTTCAAAAATGGAGCGCAGTGCACGCTGCCTGTAATTTCTGCTGATGATACTTTATTCACAGCTATTCATATGTAAATTTAGCTTTCAGCTTGTTCAGT